CAAACGTGTATAATAGGCGAGTGGAAGTCAGAGAAGTGCTGACATATGCACATTGGGTCCTAGCTGTAGAAGGGCCCTCTGTGTTAACCGGGGAGAAGGGGGTAGAGGTACCAGGTGTGCTAATAGGATCAGGGTTTGCGGCCCTGTGTGGTGAGGGTCAGGACGGTGTTAATACGGTGTATTTGTCCATGAGGACTGCAGCGTGTGAGGTGCCAAAATGTGCTCATGGAGGGCAGCGTAGTGGAAGAACTAGGGTGTTGAGCCTCGCTAATGGGGGTCATAGCTGCCGAGGGTATGTACATGTGGTAATAAAAGTCTGGGTAGCATGAGGCCCAGTCTATGCTTATGGGGGCAGAGGGGTGGAAGACCTGAGCCTGTGCCAATAATGGCTGTCAGTTGTGGATGAGGGAAGTGTGTTAGCACTGTGAGAGGTTCAGTGTATTCAGGATCAAGATGGTGTGAGATCAGTGTGTGCCCATGAGGGCCGGGGATTCAAGACTAGGGTGCGCTAAGAAGAGGTAGGGTGATGTATGAAGTTAGAGGCACTGCTAATGTGGCTTTAGAGCCTTGGAGGCCCTTAAATGTGTGCCAGTCGGGGGAGAGTCAGAGCTGGATGAGATCTGGAATATGCTAATGAGAGTCAGAACATTGCAAAGACAGTATGCTCTTGTGTCCATGGAAGACTGGGATGTGTTGAGGTTCCAGGGAGTGCTAATGAGGGGTAGAGCTGTGGAGGGTTTCTAGTGTGCAAGGAGGATAATCAGGGCTGTGAAGGGATCCAAGTGTGAATCAGCCAGGCTTCTAGCTGTGGAGGACTTGAAGCAAAGAGAAATAAGGAACAGGAATATGTGAAGGTCTAGGTGTGCTAAAGTGGATAGAGCCATGGATGGCTAAAATGTGTGCTAAGTGGGGGAGGGGGGCGTCCGGCTGAATCAAGACCTGTGTGCATTAATGAGGGTCAGGCCATTATGTAACTGTGTTTGCCCCTGGAGATAGGCTGGGGAAGGGTTCAGGGATATAACAGTGTGCTTGCCCCTGAGATAGGGCTGAGGAACAGTCCAGGGTTATAACACTGTGCTTGTCCCTGAAGATAGGGCTGAGGAAGAGTTCATGGTATGCTACTGGGAGGCACTATGTGAGGCCCAATATGTTCTAATAGAGGTCAGGGTGAACTGAAGGTCTAGCTTGTGCCGATGGGAGGTGGCAGAGACAGGATAGCAGGAGGACCAGAATATGTGGTAATGATAGTCATATCTGCCAAGGGTCTGAGCTTGGACGAAAACAGGTCAGGGGTCTGCAAGGTTCACTTTGTGTTCATGGGATTTAGGGCGGTGTGAAAATCCAGTGAATGCTAATGTGGGTCAGCTGTAGAGGGTCCCAAGTGTATGTTAATAGGGGTCAGAATCATGTAGGGGGAACTGTGTTAACGGGGTGAGTGCTGTGGAGAAGCTAACAGGCAGCTGGGCCTGGGAGGGACCCAAGAATGTGGTAGGCGTTAACTTTGAAGGTCCTGTGCTCTGTTGGGGCTTTGTGAGCTGGCGGCAGTTAGAGATAAAGGGAAATTGCAGGTGCTGATAGCAGTTAAAATGCAGAGGGACCTTCTAGAAGGTTCAGTATATACTGAGAAAAGGAGGACATTGAGGGCCCAGTGTGTGCTTATGGGAGTCCGGACAGGATGAGGATGGTATGATCCTGTGGGACTTAGTAGAGTGTGATGCCTGTGTCCTCAGTGGCTCGGTGTAGTGTGAGGAGGTAAGTGTCCTCGGGTATTATGAGAGCATTCAAGTTAATATCTTCAAGTGTCTCTGCTTACAGGGGCCCATCAGGGCCCCCCTACTGGGGGTGTTGCATGGTACAAAGATTTTGTACCCCTTTTTCCTAAACTCCCCACAAAACTGAACTCGAACCTGTTCAGCCCTTGGAGTTTCCAGTTAGAGGTCATGCACCCATAGCTCCTCTAGCTCCCTCCTCATTGTCCATCCAGCCCTACTTATAATCCCTCACCCCCACCCCGCCCAGCTCCTCTATTCCCTGTGACAACAGACAAATGGACTGCAGATCTGTGCCATGCAGACACAAGACCGTCTTTGGAGCTGGCCATACTTCACCTGCCTCAGTCTCAGGTCCAGTGTTGAGCCTCCTGGGCCAGGATTTTGTTGGTATCCTGGGTTCTCTGGGTGGAACTCATCCTCTTCACTGCGGTCTTTCTACTAGGCTGGCCCCTCTACCCCTCCTGAGGGTAGTGAGGTCAGGCAGGCAGAGACAGGGTGTGGGGACGGCTGGAGTAACACCTGATTTCAAGGTAACAGATGACCCACTTCTCTCCTCGCATCCAGGCCCAGCCTCATCTTCAACCTCCTATCTAGCTTCACTTCCCTTGGGCCCAGGGCCATCGTAGGCCCTGCTGTGAGTCCATATGGTTCCTGGGCCAGGTCTTTCCCCCTCCTTGCTGGCCCAGAGCCCAGGTGGAAGCAGAAGAAGGCCAGCCTAAGCCTCTTGGTGGCCCTGTTCCCTCCACAGCCCCATCTAGGTAGGTCAGCTTCCTGCCGATGCCAGCGTCCCTGGGCCACCTTGTCTGGGGTTGCTCATGAGCCCCAGGGACTCACTCTGGTAGAGATTGGTCCTAGGTCCTCGGCCCCCTGACTTCATTAATTTCTGCCAGAAGCACTTTTTGAGCATCTACTCTGTGTCAGTCACTGTTCCAGGTCCTCGGGATATAGCTGTGACCTAAACAGACAGAAATTACTCTGGCGGAGCTGATCCTCTAGTTACGGCTGTGAGGAGACAGACAGTAAAGTAAACTAATAAGTAGATGGTGTCATTTCTGAGGAGGTGATGAATCCTGGGGGATAATTGACAAGGTGAAGGGAGCTCAGGATGGTTGAGATTTTAAATAGGCTCAGAGGTCAGGGTCCCATCCCCAGTTAGGGGGTATACAGGAGGCAGCCAGTCAGCAATTCTCTCTCATTGATGTTTCTCTCCCTCTCCCTTCCTCTGAAATAAAAAATATATATATATTTTTTTTTAATAAATAGGGTTATTTGTTGGGGGTTATCCATGAAAAAGGTAATATTTGAGCAATGGCCTGAAGGGGGTGAGGGAGTGAACTGTTTGAGAAATCTGGGGGAAGGGTATTTCAGGTACCGGGAACAGCTAGGGCAAAGGCTCTGAGGTGAGACTGCTGGGTGTGGTTGCAGAACAGCAACTAGCAGTGATTGAGGGGTAGGTGAGGCCAGAGAGATAATAGGGGTGAATGGGGTCAGACCATGTGAGCCACATTGAGGACTGGAGCATTTATTGGGTGTGATAAGGGAGATGTGGTGCGTTCTCAAGTACAGGAGAAATGTGACCTGGCTTGTAAAAGTCTGGGTGAGACCCTATGAATCCCAACCTGATTGAACCTTTCTGGCAGCCGGCAGGTTAGCTTGTACTCATTGAGGTCCCCCCCCCACCTCCAATTAGTGGTTGTGTCTGGGCCAGACCCTCCTCCCCCTACACCCCTCACTTGGGTAGATCAGTGGCGTAGTCCACTAGTCACCATGACGATGGTTGCTAGGAGAGGTTAGAGGTCTTTGTGGCCATATAGAGCAGGCTGCCTTGGCAGTTGGGGGTGATGTTGGGTTGGTGCCGGCAGAAAATGCCTTTCTACGAGCGTGTCCAGGGTTATGTCAGTTGTTCTGAGGTCCTGGGCAATTCCCCCTCTCCACCCATGGCCAGGTTCATCACTGCTGCTGCACCCAAGAATACCTGCTGCTCCCACAGGGGGGCTGCCTCCCTAGAAACCTGCGTTCCATCGGTTGGACCTTTGCCCTCAGCCATCCACCCAAGACTCGGTACTCAGGTGGGCTACTTAGGAGCAGGGTCCCCAGGGGCTGGCAGGCAGGCACTGACAAAGGTCCCTGTTCATGCCAGGTTTCCAGAGGTCCTGAGTGGTTCCAGGACCCCTCAGTGGTTGGGTGGGCACTGACAGAAGTTCGTGTCAGTGTGCCTCACTAGGTTGTCATGGGCTTTAGGGGGCCCATGGTCAGGCAGATGCTAACATGGATCCCATTCCCATCTATGCCCCGCTCCCCTCACCCTCTCAGGTCGCCATGGATCGGATGAAGAAGATCAAACGGCAGCTGTCAATGACACTCCGAGGGGGCCGAAGTGTAGACAAGACCAACAGTGCCCCTGAACAGATAGGCCTGGATGAGAGTGGCGGTGGTGGCGGCAGTGACCTTGGAGAGGCCCCCACCCGCGCTGCCCCAGGGGAGCCCTGCTCTGGGCGGGGACTACTCAGCTCTGCACCAGGTGGGTCCACTGACCACTTCCTCCCCTAGACTGGTTCCCAGGCGCTGCTTTCCAGCCAAACTCCTCTTAGACTTGCGTCTTTTCATTTCCATTTCTCCATTTTTTCCCTTCCCTGCCATCCTCTCTATCTGTGCCCCTTTTGTTGGCTTTCTGCCCAGGCCTTGCCCCAGCTCCCCTAATCCTCCTTTTACGCTTCTCCTACACTCTGCCAGTACCCTCAGGCCCCCTGGCGCCTGCCTGCCCTGGGTCTTTGGCTGCCTCTGCCTGCCCCTAGCCCCAGGCTAGCCACAGTCTCAGCTCACCCCTGGAACCTGGTGTTCCACTAGGTAACTATTCCCCCTGCCCCATTCAACCTTCCTGTCCTGTCTGAACCTCTGTAGGCCTTGCCACCCTCTCCCTAAGGGACCCCAGGCTGCTCTGGGGGCCATATGCACACCGGTATGATGATCATACCGAATGTATTCGTTGGGAAGAGGGTGTCCTGGGGCTCCTGACTCCACCTAGCCTGCCCTCCCCCTGTTGCCACCACCAGAGATTGTACATGAGGACTTGAAGATGGGGTCTGACTTGAAGATGGGATCTGATGGGGAAAGTGACCAGGCTTCAGCCACGTCCTCAGATGAGGTGCAGTCACCAGTGAGGGTGCGCATGCGCAACCATCCTCCTCGCAAGATCTCCACTGAGGTGCGTAACCCCCCTGTCTGGGTGGTGGTGGGGCTGGAAAAGAGGGTTGGACCGGAGGTGGTTGAGCTCATGCTCCTGTTTCTCCCCTGTCTCGCCTGCTAGGACATCAACAAGCGCCTCTCACTACCAGCTGACATCCGGCTGCCCGAGGGCTACCTTGAGAAGCTGACCCTCAATAGCCCCATCTTTGACAAGCCCCTCAGCCGCCGCCTCCGCCGTGTCAGCTTGGTGAGTATCTGCTATTCCTGTCCTCTTCCTCCTCCTCTTTCCCTACCTCCTCTCCCCCCCTGTACCCTTCCCCGAGCCTGCTTCAACCTGTCCCCTTTACTCCACAGTCGGAGATTGGCTTTGGGAAACTGGAGACCTACATCAAGCTGGACAAGCTGGGGGAGGTGAGGGACAGCCGGGAGGCCCATGATGGGGGTGGGGATCAGTGGGAACTCCCTATAGCCTCAGGCTCCTCTCCTATAACTGTTCTTCATTCCCCAGGGTACCTATGCCACCGTTTACAAAGGCAAAAGCAAGCTCACAGACAACCTTGTGGCACTCAAGGAGATCAGACTGGAACATGAAGAGGGAGCACCCTGCACCGCCATCCGAGAAGGTACAGACATGCGGGAAGATCTGCCCCAGGCTTCCTGGGCATTCCCCATGGTGTGCACACACACGCCCCATAGTGAGACTGGGGGTTCTGGTACTTCTCTCCTGATACTCGGGGCTTCATGAGAAAGTGCCCATCACTCACATATCTAGGGTAATAATCAAGGTAACCAGGAATCTGGTCCTGTTTGGAGAAGAGGCAGAAGAATTGGAAAGCAAGGTTCTTGCTTTGGTTCCGAGGACATCCCTGAAAGTGCTCACCAACTTACTTGATACAGTAGTTAGTCAGAACATCACATGCAATGATGTGAATTGCATCAAAATTGAATGTGCAAACGCGGTTTCATATGAAGCTACAGGCCTGAGGGTTGGAGCAAGGCCCCTTTCCAGAAACCAAAAATGGGTTTAGAAAATCTAGTGTCACATAATCCTGGGGCTGCAGTCCCATGTTCTTGTCCCATACTCTTCTCTGAGCCTTAGTTGCCACATCTGGAACATGGGGACATACCTTCCTGGCATCAGGTGGGCTAGAGCTGGTGGCTGCGAGTCACCACTCCAAACTGCACAGGGAAAGAAGGAAACCCTGGTCTCATCCCTGTCTAGTCCTTGTCATTATCCTGAGGGTGGGGCCCTGACTCTTCTCCCGTCCCCGTCCCACCCCCATGTTTCCTGCAGTGTCCCTGCTTAAGGACCTCAAACATGCCAACATCGTCACTCTACATGACATTATCCACACGGAGAAGTCCCTCACCCTTGTCTTTGAGTACCTGGTAAGGTTGGGTGGCAGTGAGTCCCCGGGGGAACTTGGGTGATGGCCAGACAGGATATGACCCTCTTTCCTCTACTTCTCTCTTCAGGATAAGGACCTGAAGCAGTACCTGGATGACTGTGGGAACATCATCAACATGCACAACGTGAAAGTGGGTGTGGGGCAGGAAGCAGGGGCACAAGGGCCACTCACCCAGTCCACCCCACAAATCTCCCAGAAACGACGTCCCATTTGGCTCTTTAGCTGGGAGCCATTGCAGGGCGTTGGGACCCTGTCCTCTTTTTGAGACAAGGCTCTGGGCTCAGTGTCTGTGTTTGGGAGGGGGAGCAGTGCCTGCTGGGAGTCAGGATGCTGGATACTCTTTGACCTCTGCCTGCCATTCCTGGGTCCCCAGCTGTTCCTGTTCCAGCTGCTCCGTGGCCTGGCCTACTGCCACCGGCAGAAGGTGCTACACCGAGACCTCAAGCCCCAGAACTTACTCATCAACGAGAGAGGAGAGCTCAAACTGGCTGATTTTGGTACCCTCGGCCTTCCCTTCCCAGAGATCCCCCAGCCTTACTCTCCCAGCCTCCCCCTTCCCCATGACCACCTACTCTCAGTCCCCCGGCCTGCTCAGGGCCACCTCAATCCCAGCTACCCCTTCTCTCCACCTCCCAGGTCTGGCCCGGGCCAAGTCAATTCCAACGAAGACCTACTCCAATGAGGTGGTGACCCTGTGGTACCGGCCCCCCGACATCCTGCTCGGGTCCACAGACTACTCCACCCAGATTGACATGTGGTGAGGACACGTGGCAGGGTGGCAGGGGCCATGCAGTGAAGGTTGGTGGCTTGGTCACAGTGGCCAACCAGTCAACTGCCTTCCTATTTATTCACTGTGCCCTCCCTGCCCAGGGGCGTGGGCTGCATATTCTACGAGATGGCCACAGGCCGGCCCCTCTTCCCAGGCTCCACAGTGGAGGAGCAGCTGCACTTCATCTTCCGCATCTTGGGTGAGGAGACAGGAGCCCTCAGAGGTGTGGGGACATGCAGGGAGGCCCTCTGAGATGCTTAGGGTAATGCCTCTTCCCACCAGGAACCCCAACTGAGGAGACATGGCCCGGCATCCTGTCCAATGAAGAGTTCAAGACACACAACTACCCCAAGTACCGTGCCGAGGCCCTTTTGAGCCATGCACCACGGTGAGGCTAGTGGGGGGGTGCGGGGGTGTGAGGGGCAGAGTACCCAGACTCAATTTAAAGCAGGTCCCCTTGTCCTTGTGGTAGACTTGATAGCGATGGGGCTGATCTCCTCACCAAGCTGCTGCAGGTGAGACCACTTCCCGAGTCAGCCTTGGGGGCTGGGGGTGTGGGGATACGGGGAGTTCCGGGTGGGGAGGAAGAGAGGCTTACTCTGTGAAAGTGTCAATATTAAGCCCCCACCTCAGTTTGAAGGTCGCAATCGGATCTCTGCAGAGGACGCCATGAAACACCCATTCTTCCTCAGTCTGGGGGAGCGGATCCACAAACTTCCTGACAGTGAGTGGAGCTGGTGAAGGGAGGGCCGGTGGGGGGCTGTGGGGAACAGGACTGCTGTAGACAGCCGAGCAGGTGTTGTCGGGCTCTGCTACATCACCTCTAAGGGGGGACACATTTGTTCACGTGTGTGACGTGTTTATTACAAATAAGTTGCTTAGTTTTCAGTTCCTTCTACCTTTCATGGAAATTTCCAAATGTACATAATAATAGATAAAGTATCACTTTCTCTTTTTTAGAGTAAACATTTCCTTGTAAAGTATGTACTGAGAAATGCACAGATCATAAGTATACAGCACAGTGAATTTTCACAACACACACGTGACACAGGCATACGGTCAGAAAACAGGATGTGAGAAGCTTCCCCAAAGTGCCCCAGGTTCCTTCAGATATTCCCAGCCCCTCCCCAAGGGTTACCACTAGATGGACTTCTAACAGCTTAGATAAATTTCCCCTGTCCTTGTACTCTGCAGAAATGGAATCATACGGGGTGTTCTCTTTTTACATCTGACTTTTAAAAACTTTTTAATATGGGCGTTTTTAATGAGATATGTTTATGTATTAGACTAAATAATAATATGAGTCCCCACATTCTCTATCAGGTTATCAACTTATAGTGAATCTGGTCTAACCTATATTCCCTCTGATTATTTTGAATCAAATCCCAGACATATTATTCACCTATAAAGGATTTCAGCATGTGTCTATTAAATCTCTTTTTAAACATAACAATGTCATTATCACACCTAAAAAAACTTGGCCCACTTTGCACATCTCCCCATTGGACTAATCCAAATGAAATCCCAAACACCATCCAATCACCTAGAGTTAAGTGATAATTGCAATACCATTATCACACTTGAAAAATTAATAATAAAAAAGAAAATAATGCTTTCTTGGTGCCATGTAATAGTCCATATTCCATTTTTCCTAATTGTAGCTAGTTTTTGGGTGGGATTATTTCACAGACGAAAGTCAAGCCTCTCAAAGAAAAGGCAGCTTTTTCTAAATCCCCCAGTGGGGCCACATGGGAGGTGGCTCTGGATGGCCCCATGGGTCATTTCCTACTTCTGTCTCCACCCACAGCTACTTCCATATTTGCACTAAAGGAGATCCAGCTACAAAAGGAGGCCAACCTTCGCTCTTCGTCGATGCCTGACTCAGGTAGGTGTGGCCCTCGCCCTCTTCCCTGCCCCATCCATCTACCTGCTTGTTCACCAACAATAGCCATCCGCTCTGCTTTCGCCCGCAGGCAGGCCAGCTTTCCGTGTGGTGGACACCGAGTTCTAAGCCACAGACCCAGGCCCCAGCAGGCAGCAGCTGGAGGGATGCCACACCCCTCACAGGGCAGCCCCCAACTGCATCCTCCCTTGCTTGCTGCCTGCCCACCTGCCTGATCCATGCTCGCCTGCCCACGTGTTCCCTGCTGCCTGTCCAAACATCCATTGGCCTGTCTGCTGGGTGCTAACAAAGCTCTCATCGCTCCTTCACCTGGTCTGTCTGTCTCTCTCTCTGTCTTAGTAGTAGCCGGCGGACAGCATGGCCGTGCCAGCCTCCCACACTGAGGCCAGGCCTATCGCCCTCCCTATTATACCCTCCCCCAGGACCACTACCCCATGGCCAGCTAGGGGTCCGGCCAGCCCAGGCTCGGGATCTCAACTCAGACAAGATGTGGCAATGCCTTGGGTTTGAGGTTCCACCTGCCTGCTTTCCTGCCTGCCCCACCTGCCTCATGTTGTGTGGGCCTTTTTTTGTTTCATTCATTGTTGTTTTTTTAATTATTTTAAATGAGGTTTTCATTTTTTAAATGCAATATCTCTGTGTACAGACTGGCTGGGCCCCACCCCCCGTGGCCCTCCCAAAGTATTTTGTGCAATGAAGCCCTGATCCCAGCCTTTCCAAGGCAGGGACACAGCCCCTATTCAGAACCCTGACCATCCCCAGATCCTGGGGTTGGCTAAGGGCAAGCATGCCTCGACCACTCGCCTTCCTACACACACCCCCTCCCCACCACCTGCCATCCCAGGCTGCAGGGGTACCTGAGGACTACCGGAGACTCTGGGAGATGGACAAGTGGGGGCCCCCACTCTTTCCCTCCTGCAGTTCCATAGCTGGGGCCTCCTTCCGTCTCAGGGTCTCCCCAGCCTAGCCCTCTTGCCCCCATCCCACTCGGTGCTGTTGAGTAGGGGCCCTGCCAGGAACTGACCAACTCAGCGAGGAGCCATAGTGTGTATATGTACACAGGCAGGGGCAGGCATGTGGGGGGGAGTTGTGCCCAGGTGTTAACCCCTAACCCCTGGGGAGGGTGAGGCAGGGCAGGGACAGTCTCTGGGGTCAGTCCCAGATGGGTGGTTACCTCCCCTTCCTCCACTCTAAACCCTGGGGCCTTCAAATGGGGTGGGAGGGCATGGGTGGGGGCCCTCCTAGTGGGGTTTGGGAGGTTGGGTTCCTGAATGCACCATAATCGCTGTATGAAACATTAAAAAGTCTGAAGTGAAAAATGTGATTGCAAATCCCTGTAGAGGTGAAGGTGGACTTGACCCACGGTGAGTACTAGGACCTTGGCGAATTCGTACCTGGTCCCCGCTGTCTAGGAGAGCACCGGGAATGGGTCAGGGACACGTCATGACTCTAAAAAAGGCATCTGAGGGGTTGCACATGCAACAGTGGAACTCTGAATTGAAGCAGGTAAGGCAGGCTGAACAGAGGATGGTATCTAGGAAGTAATGGAAACCCTGGTGAGACGTGGGTGAAATGATCCTGGAAAGGTTAGAGTTCACACAACTGCTCTGGGAAGTGGCAGGGTCATTGATGTGGGCAGAGGTTGGCCTCTGGAAGGCGGAGAGATCCAGTCCAGGTCTGGGGAGGGAGGCCTGTTGGATTGTAGGAAGGACAGGCTACCCAGGTAAATGGGGAGGGGGAGCCTGCAGAGGGGCAATGAAAACGGTAAATTCAGAGAAGATGCAGCTGGGCTTGAGCAATGTGCCAAGTGCTAAACTAAAATGACACTCTGGGGACCACCCCAGGTGAAAGGGCTGCTTCCTTTTCTCAGTTTGCACAACAGTTGTGACCCCCTCACCTGTGCCAGGTGTGGGCAGAGGGCTAGAATCACAGTAATAAAGAATCCCTGCCATGAAGAGGTTAACGGGACAAAAGTAAATGATGAGATTGTGTATTGGATGGGGGGGATGGAATTGTGTAGAGAAGAGGGTATTCTGGACACACCAGGGACCTGTGTGCACGGGCCTAGAGACGTGGAAAGGCAAGGTGTGTTCCTGTGGGAATGGGTGGTGAAGTGAAGGAAGTCACTGGAACAGACCCAGAACCATGAGCTTGATTTGGGGAGTTTGATGATCATGTGGGGATAGCCAATAGGTAGATGCAGGGAGCCAGAGGGACCAACATACACCTGAAACTAATAAAATATTGAATGTCAACTATAATTGAAAGATGGAAGTTACCACCAACAGGTAGGGCCAAGAGCCCTGGCAGAGAAGGATGGGATAGCCTAGTGCAGTGGTTCTGAATGGGAGATAATCCTGCCCTTCCCCCAGGGGACATTTGGCAATGTCTGGAGACACATGGTTGTCCCAACTGAGGAGTGCTACTGGCATCTATAGTGAGTAGGGGCCAGGGACGCAGCAGAACATCCTACAGTGCTGCTCACAATGGAGAAAGGCCAACAGTGCCTAGGCTGAGAAAACCTAGACTACTACTGTGGTTGTTAAACTTGATCTTGGGATCCGTTTATAAAAAGTTGACATCCAAAAAGCGCTTTTTTTTGGCTTATGTCATGTAGCCCCTGGAAAATTCCACCGCATATGCGAGAGAGAATGACAGTGAAAATAGTTTTGACTTTGTGAACTCCCTTAGGGTCTCCTGAACCGTGGAAAGCCTAGTTTGAGAATCTCTGGCCTGGTGTTTAAGGTCACAGCTCAGGAATACAGTTCTGCATACTAGCTGGGGCAAAGTGAATATTTCTGGTCCTCAGCTTGCCCCGCCAGGTGATGTTATCTGCCGCCTAAATACCTGCAATAAAACAAGGCTATTACTAGTTATTGCTGTAACTACCTACAGATATACAGGGCCTGGGGCTGACTTGTCTTCAACATATTTGTCTAGATTTCAGGAAGGGAAGTGGCCCGCAGGCCTGTGTGGCGCCCTGGAGGTTGTGACCTCTCCTATTGGGTTTTGAGGGACGAGAAGAGTAGTGCATTGAAGGAAGGGCATTTTGGTCATGTTAAGAAAAACGTCGCTCCCAAGGTAAGGGACCCACGGTCCCCAGCAGACCACGGACCAGAGAAGACCGGGAACCTTTGTGTGCCTTTGGGCACTCCCCAGTATATCCTCGTCCACCCGGGAGAACTCTGCCTCCACATTCCAAACAACCGCTTGCCTGGACTCAACATGGCATTAGAATCCCACAAAACACCTTTGTCTTTTTAAAAAAGCTCCCAAGGGGAGGTTTTACTCTGCCTATTCACTGGTCGCAGAGACCCCGCCCTCGGTCCAAGGCCGCCTAACCCTTGGACACGCCTCACCGCGGGGGTCCATTTCCAATAGCGTAAGAGACCCTCCGCGGAATAGGGGGCTCCCTTTCCGTTTCCGGGACCAGAATCCGGAAGTGGCGGTTGAGGGGCCGCTTCCTATCTCCCACTGCGGGGGCTGAGAAGAGGGCGAGCGGCGATGGCGGCGGTCGGAGGGAACTCGCCTCCTGAGGCTAAAGATGGAGAGCCCCAGCGCGAAGCCATACCAGACCCGGACAGCCAGTGGGGCCATATCGAGAATAGCGACACTGGGCGGGCGCGTCGAATGCGGGGCGGCGAAAGCTGGTGAGGCTGAGCTGCGA